AGTGCCAAATCTACTCCCTTAAGAGCCATGGTTGCAGAAAAAGCCTTCAAATGGAAAAGAGGATTATCAGTAGGCTTGAACTTGGGAATGTCAGCAGTGGAAAACTTCTCAGGAAGCTTGTCCCTTATGGACGAAGAGGTGACAAGTTGTTCCACATAAGTGAATTCTTCGGAAATCTTACTCATTCGTTCCTTAATCTTGTCCATTGCAGCGGTAGTGACATTTTTTTGATTGTCTTTCTCTACCGTGTTGACTCTAGTGGTGAGTGTTTGCATCATGTTAGAAAACATTTCAATTGTCTTGTTGATGTTCTCGATATCTTCTTTAGTAGCCATTGGTTGAAAGTAGACTGGAGATGGATCTTGTGGAGATGATTGTGGTGGTTTCCTTGTACGCCTCTTTGGTATTAGAGGTTGTTGAGGTATTGACTCGAACCGTAACAATCTACCCCTGCTTCTTGAACAAGTGCTGTGACACCGAAACAAACACACCTTTAATGACCAAACTTAACCTTAACCCATCCGGATAAAAAAATAAGACATGAAAAAAATTAAGAATTGTAAAAAAATTGAATTTTAAAAATCTATAATTTTGAAATTCTATTTATTAAAAAACGACACAAAAAAAGACTACCCTAAAATACGGTCAAAAAGTGGTGCACGACTAAAGAAAAGAAAAAGTGTGAACACGATATGTGAGTGATTAAATGAGGTTATGGACGTGTGTTTTGACCGTACAGCTAGACATGACACCAAACTGGACATATAAACTACATACGTAGGCACAAAAACCGAAAAAAGACTAACGGGACACATTTCCTGGGCACCGTGTCACGGTGCTGACTGTCGTGACACGGTGCAGCCTACCGTCAGACGGTAGAAAGCCCCGTGTCACGACACTCTTCACCATGGCGCGGCAGAAATTGTCGTGACACGGTGCGCAGTTCCAGGTCTGTTTTGTGATTTTTTCCAGATTTTGGTCGATTTTAGGTCCGTACTAGTTACTATGTGATAATAAAAACCCTCGGTCATGGGTTAAACAAAAAGAGTAAACACATGAAGGTTAACACCAAACAACCATGTAGCATTTAGTCACGATGATGTAAAAAAAGTTCGCAACCTAGAGTCAAGATCTATGTTCAACTATTGGTCAAGCTTTGGGTGTCAAAAGGGTACCATAATTAAGAGTTTGGACGCGTTAGCAAGGCAGCCTCCCTTGAGGGTGTATGCCAACGGGCGGCTCCGCGAGTTCGTGATGAAATCGAACTCGACTCCATGGTTTGGGTGGATTTAATAACTCGGATGAACCCTTATTGCCATGAGCGTTTTTGGGTTGATAGAGCTTAAACCCCCCGGGGCTAAGACGCATGTAGAACACACACGTTTTTTCAGAAAAATCGAAGGAAGTTGACTATGAGAAGAGAAAATAAGCCACCAGACTGATTTTAGGGCTGCCGTGACACGACAAAAATTCCCGTGCCACGGTACGGCACATCGTCAGATGGTGTACTGTACCGTGTCACGACAGATTTTGTCGTGGCACGGCAGTTAGAAAATCTGACTGGTGCCCTATTTTCCTTCGTACGCAATCAAGTTATTCAATTTTTCCTACGGGACAGACCTAAATGCGACGTTAAAACGTCTATGCATATGCAAAAATGCCAAATTAACCACAGGAATATTTTTCAAGAATCTTTCAAGTCTCATCCACTCATCTTAATTAAATACCGATCACTCAAATAGATAAATAACCAAGAATCCTCCCAAGTGGAGTCGCCAAATTGTAGGCGTCGCTCGAAATGCGCCTACGTTAAAGCATGTGGTGAATATGCTTGGCACTCATAGGAAGTGGGAATTGACATAATATGATTAGGGACAAATAAAGTAGGGAGCCGCGAACAAGTTTTTATGGAACTTGTAAACCGTTCACGGATCATAAAAGGCAACCACGAATAAGGGACAACGATTGACCCGTGAAGGTCACACCCCATTCATAATCCATGAGATTACTAACTCCATATGGTTCGGAAACACGAAAGGAGGATCGGGGATGATGGTACGAAGTGAGTCATGGAGTCATATTCGCCCGTATTGGCCTCTACTCGATTCTTATAGTGAAAAGCATTCCTGCGATCTCAAAGGCGTAAAAACAAAGATTCAATTTGCTCCAACCTATTATTAAGCTAAATTGGTTTAATATTAATGCAACACATAGTTCTAAAATATTTGTGATCACTTGTTTTAACAACAAGATTAAAAAGGAACCTAAACCGGTTGTTCAAATTATCTTATTAGGCGTGATTTTCAATTACATATTCCCTTTAAACATGCAATATGGTGATCAATAAATAATAATAGAATAACATCAATATTGGAAGCAATTTAACAATAATTCCAACAATACAAAATCGTTAGAAAAATAATAGAAATAAGAGGAACATAATTCTTACTTTGATTCTGTTTGTTTGCAACTACAAAATAATAAACGAGTTAGTAACTTCAAGGAAATAATAATAAAACAATAATTAAATTAAATTAAATAAAGTAGAGTTGATTTGGGGCCAAACCCTCAAACAGTTCTACCTTTCACGCCATGGCTTAAGGACAGAACCACGAGTAAAGTATGGACTCCTTGGAGTACTTGAAGAAGGAATTTTGAAAGAATAAAGGGTAGGCTAGTGTTTAGGCTAAAGCATAGAGGAGAGAAAAAGCTAGAGAATAATTGATGCCCCGTGCATCAGAAATGAGGGGGTATTTATAGAGAAAATGTGCTCAGGGAACACACGGAACCCTAAAATGATAAAAACCCTAAAAAAGTATCCCGCGACACGGCAAAATGTACCGTGACACGGGAGGTCCCACCGTCAGACGGGAAACATTCTCGTGACACGGTGCAATTTTAGAGTGACGCGGGAAATTTTTAGTAAACGGGGAAGAAAACGCGTTAAGGGTTTACGCGGAAAGGACACGAAAATTCCTGTGTCACAGCAGGTTTCCTGTGTCACGGGAAATCCCACCGCCAGACGGGAATGATTCCCGTGACACGGTGGATTCCTGCCATGGGGCGGGAATTTTCATCCCGCTTTTCCATCTAAATACATTTTTAACCCTAATTTCGTTCAGCATTTTAAGTGTCGATTGATAATTTCGGGCGTTTTTCTGATTTATTATTATTTGGGCTAAAATAAGAAAATAATTAAATAAAATAAATAAAAGGTTTGGGCCAAAAATAAATAATAAAACAATAAAATAAAAAAGGTTTGGGCTGAAATTAAATAATAAATTTGGGCTGAAATTAAAGCTATGCTTTTACCAAACATCAAGACTAATCCATGGACTGTTCAAAAATACGAATTTGATCAAATACGATTTTTTATGCACTCTCGGGATTAAATACTGAACCTGGCCAATAGTAGCGGTGAAAGGTTGTTTATCATCGGGTTTGGTTTTGGGGAGACATTTTTAGGTGTCTACATTGATGTTCCGTGCAAGACGAAAATTTTAACTTGTTTGATTGTTCATGTATAATTTAGATTTTGCGGAAAAAAAGTTATAGCACATAATATTCATACCTCAAAAAAATCATCATAGTGCACTTCGTTATTGTCCATGACTTGTATATTATTGAATATTAAAGGTTGCGGTGAAAGGTTGAATATGTTTAAATATGCTTGTAAATTATGATTATATAGGTAGGAGTGTAAAGGATTAAATTATAATAAGGGTAGAATTGAAATAAAAGCTTTTTTAAAAAATTAATTTATTCTGCATTTAGGAAAAAGTATTCTACCCCTTCAAAAGGGGTTTGTTATTTTCTTCAAGATGATAATGACTTGCATTTTCTCAAATATTAGCAAATCTACTTATTTGCCATACAGACCATATTATATTCTTTGAGAAGTTTAACACTTGATTAATCTACGAGCTCTTTCCCAAATTAAGGTCAAGAAGAACCGCAATTCCCAAATTGCAGCCAAAGTTTTAAGAATTCCCAAAGTACCGTCCACGTCACCGGTTCAAGGGGAAGAAATTTTAAATCCGGTCTACAGCAAAACCGCTACCTGAAGTAGCGGTTTTTACTAATAAACCGCTACTTCAGGTAGCGGTTTCTTTTTAATAAACCGCTACTTCAAGTAGCGGTTTTTGTTTAATAAACCGCTACTTCAAGTAGCGGTTTTCTAGCAGGTATAATTTCCCGATTTCACTTTCCTCTTTCATTTTCGTCTTCTCACCAAAATCCCATCCACGCCTTCCACCAAAATCACACCTCCTTCAACGGAAGCCGGCGCAGCCAAGGAATCCACCGACGCCGCCGGAGCATTCCTCAGCAACGAAGGTCGCCGCTGTTGACGCCGAGGGTTCGACTTTAGTGGTCGGCTTCGCTAATTTCAGAAGAAACGTGCTGATCTTCTTGTTTGTCGTAAGTGCCCTAATTATTTTTTGTATTCAGTTATTGGGTTTGTTGTTGTTATTGAGTTTGTTGTTGTTATTGAGTTTCAGAATTGTATGTATGTGTTGTTGTTGTTGGTTTTGGTTGTGTTGTTGTTGTTAGTGTTCTTGTTTATTGTTGTTGTTATTGAGTTTCGGTTTTGGTTGTGTTGTTGTTGTTAGTGTTCTTGTTTATTGTTGTTGTTATTGAGTTTCAGAATTGTATGTATGTTTGTGGTTGGTTTTGGTTGTTGTTGTTGATTTACTTACCTTACATATAACCCTTGTAGAATTATTAATGGTTTCGATCACATTACTCAGTTTAGGTTGCTATAATTGCTGATTTTGAAAGTGAAAATAGAGCTTCTATACACAAAGTACATGAGCTCAAAGTACATGTAGTCATGACTTATGCCCATGTTGAGCTTCAAGAGGTATTAAGACCTTCATAGCTCAGTTTAGGTTGCTATAATTGTGTAGTTTGCTTGCTTGATGTTAGGACATTGCCACACTGTTAATGAATTTTTGCAATCTAATATCTTTGATTAATAATGGGCTTTTCTAGAATGAAACATGGAGGTTCCGAACTACCCTCTATATTGCTATTGGGGTGGAGAAATTGTCCACAAAGATAGCGATATAACGTATAGGGGTGGGAATCAAAAATTTGTGTTTGTACATTCTGCGATGACATATTCACAAGTTCTGAACAAGCTATATGAAGAATTGAGTGTTGATCCTAGAGGTGTGGAGTTGAAGGTGGTTATGCGTTATCCTATGGCTGGGGCATATGTTGCAATTCCGTTAAATGACGACAACGCTGTTAGAGCTATGTGGATTGCTGTGACTCAGAGTTCTTCTGTTGCAATGCAATTGTTCATTGAACAAGTTCCAAAGGAGCCAGTTGTGCAAACTAACACTGGTTCCTTTCCGGGGATGGATTTTTTTGGTAGTGTGGATCAACCGTTTTCCACTGGTGTTCAAAGTGTGGGCATAGGGTCATTCACAAGAATGCTTGTTGATCCACATTATGTCAATGACCATCTCTCACAGTTTAGGTCTCCGGCCTCATCGCCTAATGTTGGAACCTCGACAAGCACACAACCACAAGGCATTCTTGATTCTCTTGACCCAAACAATGTTGATGTATTTGGCGATGCAGAGATGAATGACACTGATGAAGATGATGATGAAGAGGTAATTGAAGCTCGTGATAAGGCAATTAAAGGAAGCGCCCCCACTTCAGACTTCAATGAAGTGGCGCAAGTTGATCCTCGTTTGAATAACTCATGGATGTCTTGGTTAGGAAATGAGACATATAACAATGGGGGGGGAATTTGAGGTTGGTCAGAAGTTTGACTCATTGCAACAACTGAAAGATGCTGTGAAATCTTACTCCATAGCTAGAAATCAAACAATTCGAGTTGTGGAGGCAGAGCCAGAGAAATATGTTGTTGAGTGCAAGAGGAAAGAACAATGTAGTTGTTCGTGGAGGCTTAGAGGAGTGAAAGATCCAACACTCTCTACGTTTAAAATTGTGAGGTACAACGACCCTCATGCAAGTAACTGTGTTGGTGACATCGACTCGGGAGATCATAAGCTACTGACTTCCGAGTTCGTTTGCAATGCTCTTCTAGATGTCATTCGCGTTGATCCTTCATTGAAAATCAAGACAATGGTGCAACTTGTGAAAGAGAAATTTGATGGATTCCAAATAACCTACAAGAGAGCATGGCTAGCGAAACAAAAGGCAATAAAACTCATTTATGGGGGTTGGGAGGGTTCATATGAACAGTTGCCTAAGTACATGCAAGCTCTCAAGGAATCAAATCCTGGAACTGTTGTTGAGTGGAGGTTGTTAGAGTGTACGGTTCCTGGAACACATGTTTTTCAACGAGTCTTTTGGGCATTCAAGCCATGTATTGATGGATTCCGTCACTGCAGACCCCTTATCACCATTGATGGCACTCATTTATATGGAAAATACAAAGGCACTCTACTCATTGCTATGGGAACGGATGCCAATTTTCAACTATTCCCCCTTGCTTTTGCGGTTGTCGAAGGAGAGAACAATGATAGTTGGTCTTGGTTCATGGCTTGTATTCGTGCTCGAGTTACAGATAGGAAAGGGCTATGTGTGATATCTGACAGACATGCTGGTATTTTAGCAGCAATGGAAGAAGTTGGAAGTGGTTGGGAGGAGCCCAATGCCTACCACAAGTACTGTACACGACACTTGGCTTCTAATGTGAACTCAAAATTTAAAAGTGTCGTCATAAAGAACCTCTTTGGCAAAGCAGCTACTGCAAGGCAGAAGAAGAAGTTTGATTACTACTACATCAACAAAATTGGTGACTTGAATGTAGAGGCCCGTAGGTACTTGATGGAAATTCCGTACAGTAAGTGGTCCATTCATCATGATGGTGGTTTCAGGTTTGGTGTGAAGACTACAAACATGTCGGAAGTTTTCAACGGAGTCTTAAAGGGGGCTCGATGTCTCCCGATAACCGCTTTAGTGCAAATGACCTTTTTCCGGGTTAACTCCTATTTTGCAACTAGAAGAAGTTGGAGTAAAAGAAGACTTGAAGAGGGCCATGAGTTATCGGAAAAGGCTAAGAAGACAATAGAAGCCAACATGGAGAAAGCCGCGCACCATGAGGTTGTTGCTTTTGACTATGATGCCATCGGGTTGTATCAGGTTAGGACCGGTCGTGGAAGAAGAAAAGCTGGTAAAGGTGGTAACTCCCACACTGTGAATCTGTTGAGCAAGACATGTACTTGTGAGAAATTGAGAATATACAAGCTCCCATGCTCTCATGTACTAGCAGTTTGTCGTCATAGAAGCCTATCACATGCAGACTTTGTGGATTCTTTTTTCATGACCGCCGAATACAGGCGTTCATACGCGAAGTGTTTTGCACCAGTTCCTGATCCTTGCCACTGGTTAGCTTACAATGGTCCTACTACTATTGCCAACCCAGATTTGAAAAGAGGCCCAGGCCGACGGTCCACTAGAATTCGAAATGAAATGGATGAGCGTCCCAATCGTGTGAAGAAGGCATGCAGTGTTTGTCGGCGACCTGGGCATAACAAGAAGACATGTCCTACTCTTATTGGTGGATTTGGATCATCTGGGTAACATGATTAATTATATATTCTTGTTTAATATTTATGTTTTTTCTCGAACGCTTAACATTAATTCAATTTTTTGTTATCGTGTAGGTCCCATGGAGCCGGTGATTCGTCCAGGCCCAGTTGATCCATCTGTTCTACGCTTGCAGACTTCCCATAGGAGCCACGATGTTTGGAGTGGCGTAGCTGATAGAGTTCTCTCAGTTAGGGAGCATATGGTCAGCGTGGGACGTGAGTGGAGGGTAGATGGCGGAGTACTAGAGTACGTTAGGCTTGCTGGGTTTTACGGTGTACATAGGATTTTGGGAGGAGGGTTTTTGCTTGATCGATCTCTTCTTACGGCGTTGGTTGAGAGGTGGAGGCAGGAGACACATACTTTCCACCTAGTGGTAGGTGAGGCCACCATTACTTTACAGGATGTCTCCGTCCTGTTAGGTCTGAGAGTGCACGGCCCTCCTGTCATTGGACCTCCATTTGAGGGATGGCATGACCTAGTTGAGGAGTTGCTGGGAGTTCGACCTGGCCATGATGATAACGGTAAGCCGTTTCTGGAGGGATCTACTTTGAAGTTGACGTGGCTCAGACGTCACTTCTCACAGATGCCAGAGGGAGCTGATGACTTGACCGTTCAGCGCCATAGCCGTGCTTACATTCTCACTCTCATGGGATCTATTCTGTTCGCCGACAAGAGTGGCGATGCTGTGTCACTCTACTACTTGCCGTTCCTTCGAGACTGGGGGACAGCTTCGACCTACAGCTGGGGGAGTGCGACTCTTGGTTTTTTGTATCGGCAGCTATGTCGAGGATGTTAGCGAGATTCAAGACAGATTGGAGGCCCGCTCATCCTACTACAGTTGTGGTCGTGGGAGCATATTACTATTGGCCGGCCATACATTAGGAGGCCTCGAGATCCGCCACAGGAGGACCCTGAGGCTGAGGATGAGGATGACATTTTGGGGACTCAGCATCAGCGAGGTGTTGACCCTTTGGCGTGCAGGTACAATGTTTGCTTCAAGTTCATGTTCTTACAATTCTATCTTTCAAGAATTATTATTAACATGTCTTTACAGGTGGTTACGTGTCCATCTATCGTGTGCGCATACTGCTTCTGGACTACCATACTACAGAGATGCGTTTGACCATCAGCGCGAGGACCAGGTACAATCGGTGTTTCTTTTTTTTTGTGCATTGTATTTCTTCCATTATGTTAGTCATATACATGTTGACATACTTGTTTTGGGAATTAGATGATTTGGCAGCCATATACTGAGGCGGTGATGGATCGACTTCCGGAGATTTGTCGCTCAGACATGCACATTTGGCGTTCACGGGCACCTCTGATATGCTTTGACGTCGTTGAGTTCCACCTCCCAGACCGAGTCCTTCGTCAGTTCGGGTTAGACCAGCCGATCCCACAGGATGTAGACACGGACGTTGCTCTACACAGGAAGGATCGAAGGGGACAGCGTAATTGGGAGATTCGGCATTCGGACCATGTACACGAGTGGAGTCGACGAGAGGCATTAGTCGTCCAGGGATACCCGTTCACTGGGACTTCTTCCCCGGCCATGACAGAGTACATGGCTTGGTACCGTCGCATCACGAGACTGGTCATTACTCCACCTTCGCAGGAGCGCCCCCCGAGTCATTACCAGCCAGCTACCTCGGACCTCCTGCTTGTATGAACTTCACTTCATTTCAATCTAGTTCTTACGTTTTTGATTTCATTTTACTAACATTAAAACTACACTTAAATGTAGGCACATTCATTTGCTGATTTGCACGTCCAGCTATCGGGAGCTACTGAGACCATCTCCCACTTGCCACCAGAGACGGCTATACCATTTGCCATACAGACGATGCAGGGTTTTACATCATTTTGTGGCCAAACCTTGTCTAGGGTGGGGCAGTCACACCTTATTCAGCAGCCTCGACCGTCCACGTCTTCATCTTCTACTGTGCACACTATGCCGATCAGACCACCACCTCATCGTGGAGGCCATTCAGCACGTGCCTTCCGTCCACCGACTCCTTCTCAGCATACTATCATGACATCTCCTCCACTAGTGCATCGCCAGTATCAGAGAAACCGACGGCGTAGCAACACTACGTCTGGGGTTGGAGTTGGCCTGGATGACATTCCAGGGGAGACAGCTGCATCATCTTCATCGTCACCTCATGGGAAGAAGCAACGCCCGAGCTAAGTGTATATTTTGGAACTAAACTAATTTTTTTGTAAATGCTTAGAATTGGATTTTGTTATATTTAATCAATTGAAAAATATTCGACTTTGCAATTTCGACTTCCTTAGATCTTCATAAACTTGTTATTTATGGTGGTTGTGTTGAAAATATGCTATATATCTCATGTTTTACAGGTACACAACTTGCAGGTTTTTTTTTGAGTGATTATGCAAGTTTGAAAAAAAAAACCAGTCCAGGGTAAACCGCTACTTGAAGTAGCGGTTTTTAAAGTAAACCGCTACTTGAAGTAGCGGTTTTTAAAGTAAACCGCTACTTGAAGTAGCGGTTTTCCAAAATAAACCGCTACATTAAATAGCGGTTTTTTGTAAACAAACCGCTACTTCAAGTAGCGGTTTTAAACTAAAAAACCGCTACTTGAAGTGGCGGTTTATTGCAAAGAAACCGCTACTTGAAGTAGCGGTTTACCCTGGACCGGAAAAAAAAAAAAACCGGTTTTTTAACCCGTGCTTACATGGACGGTAAAATGGGAAAACTTAAAACTTTGGCTGCAATTTGGGAATTGCGGTTCTTCTTGACCTTAATTTGGGAAAGAGCTCTTAATCTACACTATTTTTTGTTGCTTGATCATCAGATTTCCGCGCAATTTACTGAGCCTGTATCATTATTTCCGCAAACATCACTCTCCTCTTCCCAGCTACACTCTCTCGAAATTGTTGAACAACTGCTGTTTTAATCTTGAGTTCAAATTCCAGAAATTTTACGTTAGCAAACAATTCTTCTTCGCATCTAATGATCTGAATATTATTAATTGGGTTAATCTTCGAATTAAGCTAAAAAGATGAGAGCTCAATCACAAAGCAAGCACCGACATTCTATTATGCATCTAGTTGGTTTACTCGTTTGTTTCTGTCTCTTCGTCTTCTTCATTCAATCTTCTATCTTCAGCGGTAATTTGCCCTTAATTTTGTTTTTCTTAGCTATATCTTAATCAATGGAATTTATCGATATAATTTGTGAAATTTTCTGTTTTTTTTTTTTTTTTTTTTTTTTGGTGCAGGTGGTGGAAAGATAGAACTTTTGAATAAATTGGAAGTTGAAATTCTGTCTCAGTTTCAAAGCAATGTCCAGCAATGTGTGGTGAGTTTTTTTATATTTATTTTTGGGTTTATTTTCTTCATTATATTATTGATTTACTGCCAAAATTATAATGATTTGGTTTTTTAAAAAAAATAAAAAAAATAATGATTTGGTTATTATAAATTTTGAGACATTGTAATTTGTGATTGTAAAATTTGAGCCCTCTTCACAGGTTTTTGTCTAGTTTGAATTTCCAACACTGATTTGGAATAGTATTAAACTTTGCATGTTGTAGCCTATCTCTAGCTGGCAATTACCATTTGAGAATTACCTTGAGACATTTTGGTTGTGTTTTTTTAGACAATTCCGACGATCTTGAGCAATTGGGTTGCTGTATAATGCTCATGTGGATGTATTGAATGTGCTGCATTAGCTCTAATCTGCTGCATGATCATAATGATATGGTCTACAGTGTGACAAATATCTGTAATTTTGACGATTAGGAAGTAATGTATTTTACATAGTGATGGATTGTTGATGGCAATAACCTTCTAGGCTTCTTAGTTCCTTTATAGTAGTTTTTTTCGGACATTACTGTGATACTCCATCCTGTTTTTCTCTTCTCATTTCATTGGGATGTTTTAGAAAATAGTCTGAATTAGGTTTTGATTCACACTAATACCACTCTTGTGTGAAGGTTTTTCCAGTAATTCGGAAGTGATACTAACATATTTTGGGAGTAGCTTTCTAACTGAATTTTCCTTTTCTGCTTTGACAAAACCCAAGGAATTTCCTTAGGTCTACTATGTGAAACTTATTTGTTATTTCCATTATCGTTGTCCATTATGAGTCTTGTGTTTTGACTTACAAATGTACCGAAACTTACGTAGGCAAAGAGAGGGCTTGGACTTACAGCGGATATTATTGATCACTGCAAATTGAAACTCAAGTATCCTGAAGGCACAAACAGCACATGGGTAAATCTGTTAGATCTGTACTTTATTTATTTTTTTTTCCAGTGAATAAGTTAAATTCTGAACTACTCTCTGAAGTGTTTCTTTTCTGCAGTATAATGCGCAATTCAAGAAGAAGGAACCGCTAGAGTATGATTATGATATCTGTGAAGCACTTTTACTCTGGGAACAGGTCAAGCCACTTCTTTCTTAACAGTGGATGCATCATGATTTTTGGAAATAATGTGTAATAGAGTGTTAATAATTGCAGTATCGCAATGTTACGACAGTATTGACAAGAGAATATCTGGATGTTCGCCCAGATGGTTGGTTTGATTATGCAGCAAAAAGGATAGCCCAATTGTATGATTCTGACTTTATGAAAAATGCATTTATATATATATATATATATATATATATATATATATATATATATATATATATATATATATATATATATATGACAATAACTGCAGATTATATGGTTATCTCACATAAAGTTGGTCTCCTGTTTTACATTGTGTCAGGGGAGATAAAAAATGCCACAACAAATCTCTTTGTGATGAACTTCTCAGTCCTATTTTACCAGCCACACCTCCATTTCATCCTCGTCAATTCGAAAGATGTGCGGTTGTTGGAAATTCTGGAGATCTTTTATTGACAGAGTTTGGTGAAGAAATTGACAGTCATGATGCAGTGATTAGAGATAATGAGGCTCCTGTTAATGAGGTGAATCTCTAGAATTTATAATAAATTTGTAATTGTTTGTTTTG